AAAGTTGAGACGGCAGCCGTGTTTTTATCGATATTTGCCATCCTTATGTGTGCCATCGTAAAGGAATTGATTTAATCGTTTTAATTTAAATCTCCGAACTTCTGAAGCTGACATATTCTATGAATGTAGGCTTGTAATGCATGCTACAATTTAAAAACGGGTGGGACTCATTCAAAAATTCGAGGGGGTTCGCTAGAAAAGGGGGGTTCGCCCGAACCATAAAAACCCCCCTGGCTACGGGCCTGTGATAACACTGATGGTGATGACAATGATAATGATGAGGATATAATGGATTTTATAGATCCTATGCTCTATGAATACCAAACATAATAATTTGCATCAGTATTGTTATTGGCCATATTAATAGAATAGATATTGGACCGAAAATATAAATGATGATACCTTTGCCATTTGTTATCCGATTTATTAGCTTTTGAAGTCTGCCAGTGGCGGATCTAGGGGGGGGGATAGGGTGGCTGGCCACTCCCCTCCGGTTACCTCGGAAAATAAAGTATGGTCACTCGTCTTGTGTGTGTGCTTCTCATGTATACATGTTACATGTAGTAGGCTACTCTCGATCTAGGGGGTGAATAGGTAGTGGGCTACTCTCGATCTAGGGGTGAATAGGGTGGCCAGCCACTCCCCTTCGGTAAAACATACACTTACTTTTTTAAGCTTAACTTCTTTTCAGATGACGTCTACTAATTCCAAAAAAAAATCTCAAATGGAAGTGAATGCCTCTCCTTAAACCCATGATCAAGGGGGATAGGGGGACACGTCCCCAAATATTGTTAAGGTCTGGGGTTGGTCCCCTCACTTTTCGTCAGCAATGTAATAATTTCATAAGTCAAGAAGATGCCTGAAAATTGTCAAAATGAACTGCATAAATGACCTAAGTTTTAACGAAAGTGTGCTGTACAACCGGTACTCTATCTCAGCCCACAAACATCTGAATTGCCTTTATTATAATTTAAGAAGTATGAGAAAAAGCGTGTAATAATAATAATAATAATAATAATAATAATAATAATAACAATAATAAGATTGGTTTTCGGCACATGGTAAAGTAAATTAAAAATACATCAAAGACAGTTGAGTTTTATTTTCAATGGAACATCACAGTGATTAATTTGATCAATGATGAATTTTATTATATAAGAGTGTCATTTCCGGTAATCTAGAGGTGCGTTTTGCAACTGAAGTGGACCTTACGATGGGTGACTGCCTAAGGATCCCCGCGAGGGTGGGGCGAATCTTCTGGAAGCTCTGACAAATTAGCATTTTAAGGGCCCTTTTTAATGGATTTCTAAAATCCATAATTTGTAATATACTCCTGTATTTAAATTGTCATTCATTTGAGTATTGTCTAGGGACCTACAGCAAAGCAGGAAAAATAAAGGGTGGGGTGAAGGGAGAGACTTGCACAGACAGATGGTCAATACCACCTCAGCCCAACCATGGTTGGGGCTGAGGTAAAATTTATGATTATGGCACCTCAAAGTGGCCGGAAATGGCACTTTCAGACAAACTTTAATTAAGATTTTTCTTTTTTTCTCCATTTCTTTTATAATTTAAGGGCTCTCCCCCTTTGAATCCACCACTGTGAAATTATAATTTTTCATGTCCTTTACATCTGTAGGCCTAAAATCACTGGAGCTGATAATTTCCAACAGATTTCGTAGCACATTATTAAAAATCAACGGGTAGAAGAGCGGGCAAAAAATACTGCATACTATAATAATAATAATAATAATAATAATAATAATAATAATAATAATAATAATAATAATAATAATAATAATAAGATTTATTAAGCGCACATCTCCACTAAAGTGCTCTAATACTATAGCATTTCGCGATAAATTAGAAACGATTTTAGTGAAATAATAGGTTTTAAAAAGTGGACTTTTTGAAATTTGTTGGTCCAGTGGCAAAGGCCTGGAGGGGGTTTGTGAGAAAAGCGACAGAGTAGCATTTTGAGGTCTTACTTAATAGATTTCTCAAACACATAATTCATAAATATTTCATTTGAATTTTCATTAATTTGGGTGTTTTTGGGACCTGAAAAAGCAACGTTATTATGTCCTGTACATCTGAACAAATTTCATACCACATTATTAAAAATCAACGGTTAGATAAGCTGGCAAATATATTAGATGGGCATAAGAGACAGGCTATTTCTGAATTTATAATTTATTTATTTATTTATTTTTTATGTTCCTGTGGGGCAAAACAGAGGGCGCCTTGCTGCAAATCGTACAAACTTTCTTCAAAGTACTGAATTTTTTGTTTTTTCGATCTGTGACCAAAATAATTCAATCTAATTTTAAAACTATTTCTTTCTTTAATTCATTTGGTACAAGTTAGGCCTATTGAACAAAAACACGTGATTGTGACGTAGGCATTGCTTTATCCTGAATACCGTGCCAGATGTTGAGAAGTAAATATTAATGAATTTCAAACTATCCGGAATGAATTTGAGTGTATAGATTGCAGGTTGCTAGTTGTATGCTAACATACCGGTACTTACTGTAACTGTTGTTTCAAATACTTCCTACAGACTACAACATGTTAACCTCAAGGATAATATTAGATTTTTTCCTTTTAATATGTCTTTTTAGTGTATTTGTTCTTGGGTCTTCTGAAGAAGGTAAGATGAGATTTCGTCTTAAATTCTTAATAATCTATCTTTTGTAATTATTATTACAAAAGATTTACAAAATATTATTGCAATTTTAAACCGTATTTTAAACATTTGTAGGTTATTTTTTAATCATTCTGTATTCTTTTGGTATTCTAACACCAATTTTAACCTTGCGTGATTTTTTAAACATTTGTCTGTTACATTTTTTATATATTTTATCAATCTTTTTATTGGCTATTGTAATCTGATATGTCGTCTTTGCCTTTGTGCTGTTTTGTTATTGTTTGTTCGTTTGGCCAGGGGGTTTAGAGGATACCCACACCTTGTGTTGGGCTCTCACCTCATGGTGTACTCTTGGCACCCCTCTGGCCATTTTTCGATTTGTTGTGCCGAATATGCAATAAATAAATAAATAAATATATCCTAACAGACTGCAACTCTGTAAAAAATACGACACTGTAAGACTACCGTACCACATAGGCCTACATGTCATGCTGATAAGTTTACTTTGTATATACATTTTAGTTTAATTTAGTTCTAGTTTAAGTCCATTGTCCTTATATTGGATGCACCGTTGGGTATTATTGTCCAATGTGTGCCACTTTGGTGTTCATTGTAACTTACAATTTGGTTATTGTGGTGTTTTTTTTTTCTGTCCAAAAGCAATATCAGGAATATGTCGCTTGCACAATGCATTAAATACAAACTTTAGTTCATAGTATAAAAATACGAGTTACCTCTTGTGATTCATGCTGTAAACTTTTTATTGTAATTGCATCTAAGGTATACTATACATGGACTTACAACACAATCCTATTCTTAGAAGTTGAACTATTGTAAGAAATGAGTAACAGTTTGTTTGCCTTCTTTCTTATTGGTTTCGGTAGTACGCTATTTTACATTAAACTTGTTTCAGTAGTTTGATTTATACACCCCAGCTTCTATTGTTCTAATGTTTTTTTAATGTGAAATAATTTGTAAAGTTTTTCGAGCAAAGCGATTTCTTCTTTTGGAGATAATAAAGTTTTTCTGATTTCCGTATTATTTTAATGATATAAACCAACAAAGCCCTGTCCATAAAAAGATTGAGAATCGCGGCCTTCTATTTTTTTTAATTGTTTTTGTTCGGATTAAAAAATGTTTTATACGTGACATAAATAAATAATAATAATAATAATAATGCAATGCAATGGGTGGGGTGGGTGGCAGGGCCCCCAAGGTTCCCTCCGGGGTCCAGAGGCGGAGCCCCGGTGGGGTCCAGCAGGCAAGGGCCTCTGTCGCTCCAACAATCTGAGCATTTTAAGCTGTTTTAAATAATTTCAGGTAGTGTTGACAATACCGGGTACGGTAAATAAACAAAAATATTTTTAATAAAGCCATGTACAGTTTCAGTTTCAATTTATGTTTAATTTTAGAACCTGGAAATATGTGCACAAACGTTTCATTACTTCGGAAAATGAATAGGCATACTGTACTGATAAATTTTAGTAACGCGTCAGTGAATTAATATTCACGTAAATACTGTCTAATGACAAGGTACATCATGACCGTTTTTATATTTTTAATATAACCAATTTCTTCAAATTTTAAATAAATTCCCCATTATTCGTGAAAATTCGTTATCACGCATAGATTTGTGCTAAATGCGTGACAAATTTATGATCACGCATGTGTTTCTGCAAAATGCGTGTTTCAACCAAAATCAATTTGAAATGCTGGCCGTCCCGCACTTATGCGAGACAGTTGGTAACTATGTAAAATAACTGAAATCTTTGATTATTATACTGAAAAAGCAGTTTGCTAAGTATCAAAACTGGTTTAGGCACTGTGTGCGCGCTGGACCATGAGATCACTTGGTCCCGGCCTGAATTCTCATCGCAGGTCTCCTTGTATTTCAGCTGGAGGGTCAGTGGTGGCACCAGGATTTGCCCGACGGAGGGGAGGGGGGTCCTAGGTTCCCTATGGGGTTGGGGTGGGGGAATTTTACCAACTGTGGTCGGGCGTCTCGGAAGTGTTCCATGGGGCAGAAGCCACCAAAAAATAGAACAATTTAGGGGTTTTAAAGGCTTATTTAATCGATTTTGGGTCTACAAATATGTAGAAAATATATATACATTTTTTTTCTCCCTGACGAATTGTGGCTTTTCTCCCTCGCCCTGGCCACCTGCTTGCGCCACCTCTATAGAGGGCCGAAACGTTTAAGCCATTGGTCCCGTGTTCACGTTTAAGAACGCTGTTACACTCTTCAAAAAAACGAAGGGGATTGTCTCCCGGTGTGCTGCCCAATCACCACCAGAATGACCCCAGTGGAAATCATAAAGTCTTATTCGGATTTTCGTAGGTTATCCTTGGTGTTTACACCGAATAAATCCACCCATCCGTCCATCCATCCTTCTATATATCCATCCATCCATCCTTCCATCATCCATCCATCCATCCATCCAATCGTTTCCATAATCACGACCAGAATGACCACCAGAATGACTCCACTGGAAATCATAAAGTCTTATTTGGACTTCCGTGGGTTAACCTTATAAATCCATCCATCCTTCCATAGGCCTATATCCATCCATCCATCCATCCTTTCATCATCCATCCATCCATGTAATCATTTCCATAATCATTTAATTTCTATCCAAATTGAAGAGTTCGTAGTATTGTGTTCCAGCATAATATGCTACAAATTACAGTATTTGAACTACTACACTTTCACAGTATCAGGCAGGCCTGTCATTAATTCTGCTTGAATAGTAATTAGTTCTAAACTGGTACTTCATTTTGTTTAGTTAAAGATTTTTAATATTCTGCTGGTATTGAATTGGTATGTTGTAACCAATGCAGCCTTTGACAGGTTTTGTTTGCATTTGTTGCTCGATTTGTGGTTGCTGGAACATATACCTAATTTTTTTTTTTTTTTTTTTTTTTTTTTTTTTTTTTAGTTTATTAAAATCTAAGCAACTTTTCTAGAACTGTAGATAAAGTCTCCCATGGATTGATTGAATAAATACACACAGTTTTTACTATATAAATAATAATCAAAGTCATATAATATAATCAAAAGTTAGTAAAAGGAAATGCATTTCTTTCTGAAATTTTAACAAAACATACAATTTTCACGTCAGAATAAGAAATATCTAAGTATAAATGTGTAGATGAGATTGAAATAGGGCAAAAACAGATAAGCTTATATTACAAAAATATAAATACTGTAAGGATAGTAACATGAATGTGGAATTTAAAAGCCTTAGGAGACTAGGATCCTTTCATAAAGTTGGCAAACCAGAGCTAAAATTTGTTTGAACATTGCCTCTTCGTTCAAAAATAATGAACCTGTCTCTTATACACATCTAGATGTGTATAAGAGACAGCATACTGTACTGATTTATGTAGAGGCTGTCTCTTATACACATCTAGATGTGTATAAGAGACAGATATATATATATATATAGAAATAAAACAATAGCAGATGAACTTGGTTACTTCATATTATCTTTAATCGCTACAAATTTGTTTCATATGACCACACAGGGCCACACTCATCAGGCGAATTGTAAAACATGAATGACACAATATCCCAGGGTTTATAACTTCAATGGCTATTCAGGAAGTCGAACTAAATTACTATGTTACAAAGGCTATTGTTTGTTGGTGTGATCCAGGGATTATAATTAAATGGCTAATCAGGGAGTCGGACTGATATCATGTTATAAAGGCCTATTGTTTACTGTTGCATTATCTGTTGCTAATTAAATATTTCTTTTCTATGACGACAAGTTGACACTAACTCATTCTTGCTATTGAGTGAGCATAGTTCTGGATGACATATAATTAAATACTTTTCGTATAAACAAAGATTGCAGCGTTTAGTCGTGTTTGAATGTGGCTTACAGCGTTTTATAATTCTCCACTTAACAGTAAATTCTACGTTAGATTCCTTAAGGGACCAGATATATTTACTTAGCTCTGTGCTGTTTCTCTTATTTACATTTCGAAATGAATTCATATGATTTCTAAATCTAGTTTTGAACTGATTTTGAGTTAAGCCTATGTATGTCTCGTGCTTATTACTGTCTCTCTTGTTACAGTTGCTTGGTACATTATGCCTTCGGTTAAACACTTGCCGGGTAGTGGGCATTCGCTTTTTACACGGCAGTTACACGCATTTGTGCTAGTGTCCACAGCTTTGTTTTTTTTTAATTTGACAGTACTATTTTATTGTGATTGTTAATTACACTTTTTACATTGGGCATACAGCTGTAGCTTAGTTTTAAAGTGTTTTTGTTAAATATTTTATAAAGTTTGTGATCTCGTGGAAAGCATTCTTCTATTAATTGCAGGAACTTTTTCCCAACGTTGGTGGCTACATTTCTACTGTAGGGCGGGTTAAACCAAATTACATTTCTTGTCCGCGGTCTCTTCTTTGCTGGGGGTTCAGGGTTGAACTTTAGTCGGTAATCGTACCCGCTGCACTTAAGGGCTTCCTGGTACGGTTGTGTAGCATTGTTGAACGATTCTTCGTCTGACGAAATATTCGAGAGACGTTTATTAATGGCTGGTGGGATATTCCGGATTATTGACGGTGGGTGGTTGCTGTCGTACAACAGACTACTTGAGAAGAATATTACTAAATCATACATGAAAGCCTCTGAAGATACGAAATCTAACATAACAGATGAGGAGTACATTATCGCCGAGAAACTAAATTTTACTAATAGGATTGAACGCATAGCAAAAAAAGACGCATTCGTAACTTTAAAGGACCATAAGCCGAACTTTGAGAACAACTCAACATGTAGGCTAATCAACCCTTCAAAGTCAGAAATCGGAATTGTAAGTAAGAAAATTCTTGAACGAATAAACAGAAAAGTTGTTACATCAACTAATTTAAACCAATAGAAGAGCACAGATTCTGTCATTAAGTGGTACAGAAACATCCGGAACAAAGCCAAGCACTCGTTTATTTGTTTCGACATAAACGACTTCTACCCATCTATAACACCAGAGCTACTCGTAAAAACCCTTGCGTTTGCATCCTAATACGACACAATCAGTGATGAAGAACCGACATTATTATGCTGGCAAAAAAATCACTACTGTTCCATGAAGATGCAACTTGGTGCAAAAGAAGAAAGGATAACAAACCCATATTCGATGTTACAATGGGTTTTCGATGGAGCCGAAACGTGTGAGCACGTAGGTTCATACCTACTATCGCAGCTATCGAATAAGTATGGTAATAATATAGGTTTATACCGTGATGATGGATTAGCCGTATTTGAGGAATCGCCACGGCAAGTTGAGTTAATAAAGAAGGATATATGCAAGGTATTTAGAGACAATAATTTAAAAATAACTATAGAAGCCAACAAGAAGTCAGTCGACTACCTTGACGTAACACTAGATCTAAGAACCAGTACCTTTCGACCCTATACTAAGCCAAACAACACACCACCTTATGTTCACCGCGACAGCAACCACCCACCGTCAATAATCCGGAATATCCCACCAGCCATTAATATACGTCTCTCGAATATTTCGTCAGACGAAGAATCGTTCAACAAAGCTACACAACCGTACCAGGAAGCCTTAAGTGCAGCGGGTACGATTACCGACTAAAGTTCAACCCTGAACCCCCAGCAAAGAAGAGACCGCGGACAAGAAATGTAATTTGGTTTAACCCGCCCTACAGCAGAAATGACCCGCCCTACAGTAGAAATGTAGCCACCAACGTTGGGAAAAAGTTCCTGCAATTAATAGAAGAATGCTTTCCACGAGATCACAAACTTTATAAAATATTTAACAAAAACACTTTAAAACTAAGCTACAGCTGTATGCCCAATGAAAGTGTAATTAACAATTACAATAAAATAGTACTGTCAAATGAAAAAACAAAGCTGTGGACACTAGCACAAATGCGTGTAACTGCCGTGTAAAAAGCGAATGCCCACTACGCAGTGTTTAACCGAAGGCATAGTGTACCAAGCAACTGTAACAAGAGAGGACAGTAATAAGCACGAGACATACATAGGCTTAACTCAAAATCAGTTCAAAACTAGATTTAGAAATCATATGAATTCATTTCGAAATGTAAATAAGAGAAACAGCACAGAGCTAAGTAAATATATCTGGTCCCTTAAGGAATCTAACGTAGAATTTACTGTTAAGTGGAGAATTATGAAACGCTGTAAGCCATATTCAAACACGAATAAACGCTGAAATCTTTGTTTATATGAAAAGTATTTAATTAAATGTCATCCAGAACTATGCTCACTCAATAGCAAGAATGAGTTAGTGTCAACTTGTCGTCATAGAAAGAAATATTTAATTAGCAACAGATAATGCAACAGGAACAATAGGCCTCTATAACATGATATCAGTCCGACTCCCTGATTAGCCATTTAATTATAATCCCTGGATCACATCAATAATCAATAGCCTTTGTAACATAGTAATTTAGTTCGACTTCCTGATTAGCCATTGAAGTTATAAACCCTGGGATATTGTGTCATTCATGTTACATCT